ACCCCTGGGGGGTTTTTTTTTTTTTTTTTTTTTTTTGGAGAACTCATTAATGAATTAAAAAAATGTATGATTGGTGTACTTTATATAACATTTAGGTATTCTGCTATGTGAGGCTTTTGAGAATATTAAATTTGTCATACTACTAGAGGGAAATTTTTAAAACAAATGGAAATGTGGTTATATGACACTTTTTATAAAAGAATTATTAAATTTTATTTATCATTATTATTTTTTAATTTGCTACAAGGCACATGAGCATACCTGAGAGAGAGGGATAAAGTGAAGGCCCGGGACACGAACTGCGGTCGACTACGTGGGAGTCCAGCGACATAGCCATTACGCTAACTGCTGGTTCCCCCCATCTTTTTATTTTTAATTTAAGATTTTTGCTGTATGGCACACGTATTCTCTGGAGACAGATGGAGAGAGACATTGAGAGAGAAAGTAAGAAATCACACCCTGGGGGGATCGTCACACAGCAATCCCTTCTCCATTCTCCTCCTGGGATTTTTGGCACACAGATGCATGAGCCTGGTGTGATTTTCAAGCGACCATATCTGAGACTTGCACTGTTGTTGGCCATGTGGGAGTTCAGCACTTTAACTACCATGCCACCTGCTGGCCCCAACACACATTGTTTTATAACCTACCTTTTCTCCCTTGATATATGATAAACAACTTCAAATTAATGAATACAGATAGCCTCATTTTAATAGCTCTATAGTCTTCCATAGCATAATATATTAAATGTTTTTCTTATAATTGGGTATTTAGGGTTCTATTTTTTCACTATTATAAACAACATCCTTATAACTCAATGTAAAAACATACATACAAATGCCAAGGAAGGGACCAGCAGTTAGTGTAATGGCTATGTCTCTGGACTCCCACATAGTCGACCACGGTTCACGTCCCAGACCCAGTGGCTTAAAACTCACTCCGGGCACGTGTGCATGCATGCCCAAGATCCCAAGAGGAGAATGGAGGAGAAGGGATTGCGGCGTGGCCATCCCCTCTGGGGGGTGATTTCTCGCTTTCTGTCTCTCTGTCTCTCTCTGTCTTTCTGGCGAGTGCACGTGCCCTATAACAAAAACCTCTCCAAAAAAAAAAAAAATGCTAAGGAAGATAAAAGTTCTCCATAATTCTATTTATTGTCATCTCAATTACTACCATTTGGTCTAGCAGGCAATTCTCTTAATCAAACAATAGATGAGAATTAGGACTAGAATATGAAAGGAGAGAGTCCAAACCTACCACCCATCTCCCCACCCCTACATCAAACAGGGATAGGGGCCAAGTTCATGGGGTGGGGGTGGGGCTACAGGCGATCAGAGGCAATCAGGAACAGAGAACTAAAGGGATAAGAGACCCACAAATAGACTCCAGAAGCCCGGGACAGCTGGAATCAGGAGCACCAAGCCTCAGGAAAGGCCAGAGCTCCGAAATCTTGAAATCAGCTTTGCCTACACACCTGGCTCCACTACCTCACCTCCACCAGAAGCCTAGGATGGTCCTAAGCACTTAGACCTGGCTTCTCCCTGTTCCTCCTTCTTTTATAGGGGCTCTGTTTTGAATCAAAAAGTATTCAGGCCCAGCCATCACCCCAATCCTGTACTTCAAGGTATCTTCACAGCATTGATTCTGAGAGTCTTGTCCCAATCTGAAGCTATCCAGCCATAAAACGGTCCCTAGGCTCTAAGGCCAGCAAGTGGCCTGTGTTAGTTAAGGCAGCTGGATCTCACATGTCTGACCACATGATGTGAGTCACGACCTAGTGGCTTTAAGAAACAGCTGGGGGGACCAGCAGTTAGCATAATGGCTATGTCGCTAGACTCCCATGTAGTCGACCACGGTTCGCGTCCCAGACCTGGTGGCTTAAACTCATGCTGGGCGCGTGTGTGTGCGTGCCCAAGATCCCGAGAGGAGAATGGAGGAGAAGGGATTGTGGCGTGGCCATCCCCCCTGGGGGGTGATTTCTCACTTTCTGTCTGTCTCTCTCTGTCTGGCTGGCGAGTGCATGCACCCTATAGCAAAAAAACCTCTTCAAAAAAAAGGAAAAAAAAAAAAAAAACAGCTGGGTAAGGCCACGAGGTGGCAGGGTGGTTAAGGTGCTGGACTCCCACCTAATTGACCACAACTTAAGTCCAGGACCTGGCAGTTTGAAAATCATGTTGGACTCATGTGTGAGCATACCCAAAATCCGATGAGAATGAAGGAGAAGGGATGGTGGCGTGGCCATTGGGATTAACCACTGGAAAGAATAGAAAGCTTGTACCAAGGTGAGCACCTTTTAGTGAAACCTGATGCACGACACACACACAGGGTTGGCTCTCCCCATGAAGGACTGAGTGCCTACACCGCTAGTCCCACCACCTCCAGGCATGATCAGACCTTCGGGAGGTAAAATATGGACATCTTGTTTGCCTTAAATTGTCAGGACTCCCCCATGCTCCTGAGCTCTCAGAGGTCCATGTTCAGGAACCAGCAGTTGGCTAGTGGCTATGTTGCTGGACTCCCATGTAGTTGACCATGGTTTGAGTCCCGGACCCGGTGGCTTAAATCCACGCCGGGCACATGTGCATGCGTGCCCAAGATCCCGACAGGAGAATGGAGGAGAAGGGATTGCGGCGTGGCCATTCCCCTGGGGGGTGATTTCTTGCTTTCTGTCTCTCTGTCTCTCTATCTTTCTGGCACACGCACATGCCCTATAGGAAAAAACTCTCCAAAAAAGAAAAAAAAATAGGATAACTCTATAGCCCAGAGCCAGGTTTTAAATAATTTCTCATCTATAAAATGGCAATACAGCGAGTATAGCCAGACACCAGAGTCTGTGAGGAAGGAAATGGGTGGTACAGGGTAGGTGGGAGAGGCAAGGAGAAGAAACACTTAACAAGCCCTAAAACGTAAAATTCTCTATTGAAAATGATGTATATGGTAATATCCTCGATTTGCATGTCAAATAAATAAAATAGGGGGAAAAGGGTCATAAAAGCCATACCTATCCCTTAGTGTTGCCTGAGAATTAAATAAGCTGATGCACTACCTGGCACAGGGTAAGCTTTACAGAAGTGTTAGCTATGATCATGGGCAGCTGTGAGAGAACTGAGCCCTAGACATCAAACCCTCCTAAGCCCCATCGCTGCCCCAGCCCAGACCTGGCAGGTGGTGGAGGGTGAAAGGTCTCCAACGGGAGAGGGATAGGCTGTGGGAGTGGGTCGGTAGTGGACTCCTGGAAGGCGAGGACTTTCTGTTGCACCCTGAACACCCAGCTACACCTAGCCGGGACGGCACGCTGCAGGTGACCAGGAAACACGAACAAGAAGAGAAAAAACACTCTAGCTTTCTTTCTGCCCCTCCCCAGGGGGTGGGACTGCAGAGTCGTCTGTGGAGAAGGAAGTTCACTGGGTATAGGAGAAGTGACTCGGAAGCGGAATCCGTTGGTCAAGAGATTGACCCCTTTCCAGACCCACTTCCCCTCGCTGCCCCAAGCTTTAGCCCATCCGGAAGGCTTGCAACTTCCAGAAGCCCGTCGCACCTAGCAGCCTGATGTCTAGCGACAGGTTATGGTGAGTGGGGAGGAGAGGTCGGCAGTCTCCACACTCACACACAGGGTGCTCAGTGGTCACGCTCAGGGTGTCCAGGTCCAGGGACTGTGGAGGCTGTCGTGGGAGGCTGAGGATGGGACGCGCGGAGTTCCAGCGGGATGGGGATGGTAGCTCGGACGTGGGTCACGGCCAGCTAGGGGACGAGACGCCTCTTTCAGGCCCAACGGTGCCTCCACCTCCTTGGTGTCCCTCGAGGAATTGGAGAACCCGAAGTTTGTCGGCAAGGGCGGGTTCGGCGCTGTGTTCCGGGCTCACCACAGGACTTGGGGCTATGACGTAGCGGTTAAGATCGTGAACTCGTGAGTGACAGAGCGGCAGGCGAGGGGGAGTGGGGGGGCAGAGCCGAGGAGGCGGGGCCGCGCAGCTCGGGTCCTAAATGGGGAAGGGAGGGATCTCCGCCCGGTCTGAGCGCGACTCCCTCTCTCCCGGAGCGCAGGGAAACGATCTCCAGGGAGGTGAAGGCTATGGCAAACCTTCGTAACCAGTACGTGCTGCTCCTGCTGGGGGTGATGGAGAACCTGGAGTGGGACTACGTGTCTGGGCCGGCCCTGGTGACTCGATTCATGGAGAATGGCTCGCTGGCGGGGCTGCTGCAGCCTGGGTGCTCTCAGCGCCCTCCTTGCCCTCGGCCCTGGCCGTTGCTCTACCGCCTGCTGCAGGAAGTGGTGCTCGGCATGTGTTACCTGCACAGCCTGAATCCCGTGCTCCTGCACCGGGACCTCAAACCTTCCAACGTCCTCCTGGACGCAGACCTGCATGCCAAGGTCAGCCCCTCCCTACTCCAGAGTAGCCTCGAAACAAAGCCCCTTCCGCCCTGGGTCAAGGTCCAGCCAGGAGTTTTAGCTAATGCCATGCCTGGTGATGGAGGCCCTGAGCCACCCCACAGGGCCCTCCAAAGGGCCTTGACCAACCTTGCCCAGAAGACACAGCCCCATGCACAGGGGACCCAGCTCTCCAACCCAAGAGTTCCACTCATTGCCCCTCTTCTGACCCTCCACACCTTTACAAAACTGGACTGACACTTTCTGGGGGGAAGGAGAATTCTGGAGGCTGCCTGGCCCCCTCTTCTCCTACTTCCTTCTTCCTGTCCTTTGCAGTTGGCAGATTTCGGCCTGTCCACGTTTCAGGGAGGCTCGCAGTCAGGGGCAGGGTCAGGGGAACCAGGAGGCACCCTGGCCTATTTGGCCCCAGAACTGCTTACCAATGTAAACCAGAAGGCCTCCATGGCCAGTGATGTCTACAGGTAAAGTGCCCACCCAAATTCAAATTCCAGATTCTTACACCCCTCTGGGCCCTTCTAGGGGTGGGTATATGGGAGAGGAGTCTTGCTAGTGGGTGGGCTAGACCTAAGCTTTGTGTCTCCTGCAGCTTCGGGATCCTCATGTGGGCGGTGCTAGCTGGAAGAGAAGCTGAAGGTAAGACTCCAGACAGATTCTGGAGCCCTTAACCTCAGGCACCCGCCCCCTAAAAGCCTGCAAGTCATCCCCTTTCTGCTTGCTTGCTCAGACTGCCTGTCTTTGTCTTCACTTCCCGCCCCAACTCTACTCCCTGCTCCCCGCCATAATGAAGCAGGTGAAGTCTCATCCCTGAATGCCTTCTCTTCCCACCTCTCGCTCCACCCTAGTGGTGGGCCAGACGTCACTGGTACAAAAAGCAGTGTGTGACTGGAAGGCCCGGCCCCCAATGGAAGAGCTGCTTCAGTTGAGCTATCCCGGCTTGAAAGAACTGAAGGAGCTAATGCAGTGCTGCTGGAGCTGTGAGCCCACGCACAGGCCTTCTTTCCAGGGTGAGCTGCCATTTAGCTCAGAGCTAGGGTATAGGGTTGGGTCTGACAGGGGCCTTTTCCAGGCAAAGGTTTTGCTCAGCTGTGACCCACACTGCTCTCCCTCCAGAATGCCGACCAAAAGTGGATGAAGCCTTCTTTTTGGTGAAGGAAAAGACGGATGCTACCGTCTCCTCTGTGAGCCCCCAACGCCCCTCCCAGGCATAAGCTGGTCCAGGGTGGCACAACATCCAACAGCTCCGTACTGACCACTGTTGTTTGTGCCTTGGTCCTCATCCCCACCCTCTCAACCCCACTCCCAAGCTTCCAGGCAACAGATTAAGGACCAAGAAACCTCTCCCTCTGGTTTCCTCTGGCTTTCCCTGCTCATGCCCAGCAAACTCCTCCTGTCCCTGCAGGTGAAGAAGTGTCTGTCTGAGCATAGGAGCAGCAACAGGGACCCAGAGCCAAGCTCCAGAGGGACAGAAATGGATGGCCCTGGGAGAACCACAGCAAGCCAGTGCTCTCAGAGTGATTCTATTTCTGGGATGCTGAACTGCCTGACTCTGGGGGGCCCCTCCAGCTCTGTTGCTCAAATGTGCACAGGCCATACTGAGAGGAGCAGAACACAGGAAAAGCAGGTTCCACATGACGGGATAGCACGGACGTTCTCAGACTCAGCGGCCCAATCTGTGCACGCTCCAGAGGCCTCACCTTTCAGAAACCAGATGCCAACTCCCGGCCAGACTTGGACCCCAGGTCCTGGACTCCAAGGGAGTCAGGTGAGGCATTGGCAGGACTGAGGGATGCACCAGGACTCCTTTCCCCTTGTCAGGAAAAACTTGGGGCTGAGACTGTGTGCAGTGGGGGACTCAGGCCTCAGGACGGGGACCTGAGAGCTCTGTGCTGTTTGCAGAGGCCTGAGAGACAGAATGTGAGCTCGTTCCCCAGGGACCCAGAGCCAAATCCAGCACCAGGTACCTAGTCCCCATCCTTTCCTTCCCTCTGCTCCATTCTCCTGCCAGCTTCTCCCTCAGGACTTTGTATGAGGGGTCTTCAAAAAGTTCATGAGGGCCAGTCTGTGGTGGTTAAGGCAGCTGGATTCCACATGGCCAACCATGTAGTTTGAGTCCCAGATCCAGCATTTTGGAAAACATGCTAGGCACGTGGGAGCGCATGTTCAAAATCCCTAAAGGGAGGGAGTGATGGAGGAGAAGGGATTGTAGCGTTACCATGCCCCATCAATGGGTGCTTTCTCTCTCTCTGTCCTTCCAGCAAGTGCATGTACACTGTGTGAAAAAAAATTTAAATCATAAAACAATGTGATCAAGACAAAAAAAAAAAAAAACAGATTTAAAAAGTTTTTGCACCAGAATAAAGTCATACTTTAATTCCTCTTTCCATGAACTTTTTGAAGTTCCCTTATATACATAGATCTGGAGTAGCTTGCGGTTGGGTGGGGGCTGCAGAAAGGACTAGAAATTATGGAGTCCAAACTTCTCATTTCATTAATGAAGAAGCTGACACCCACTGGGAGAGGACCCCTCTTAGGTCACACAACAAAGCCTGGATTTGCCCCTGGGTGTTGTGACTTTCTCCAGCACCAGTTCTGTGAGCCCCCTAAGTTTTGTTGTTGCTATGGTGCTCCAGAGGGCCTCCCAGCAAAAACAAATACAAAACAAAAGACCCAGATATCGGCATTTCAAACGTGAGTTGCCACCCCCTTTTTTTTTTTTTTGAGAGATTTTCACTGTAGGGTGCGCCAGACAGAGAGAGACATAGAGACAGAAAGCGAGAAATCACCCCCCAGGGGGGATGGTCACACTGCAATCCCTTCTCCTCCAGGGATCTTGGGCACGCACGCACACGCGCCCGGCGTGAGTTTTAAGCCACCGGGTCCGGGACACGAACCGCGGTCGACTACGTGAGAGTCCAGCGACATAGCCATTACGCTAACTGCTGGTTCCCGGTTGCCACCCCTTTTGAACTGGCCCAGAGACCCCCCCCACTGGCTGGCCTGAGACCTCCATGTTGCAATTCCCAGGGATGACCACAAGGTGTCACTGACCTCACACCCTTCCATTTACCACTGCTATTTCTCTTGAAGGGTCGTCCTTTTACTTGGAAAATTCCTCTGGGGTGCAGATTGGAGACCACAACGTTTTGATTATGACACCGAGTACTGCCTCGGCCACTTATCACCGGGCACTTTCAGGCGTGGGAAGAGGCTGGCCACGTCAGCGAGGACCTCAAGCCTGGAGGGGACCACAGGGCCAATATAATCATAGTGGGAATTAAAGCATTTTCAAAATTGTGTCCCAGGGTTGAGGCAGCGATCGTCTTTGTGGCCTCTAGACTTTTTTTCCAGGGCAGTTCATTCTGAGTCCAAACTAACTTTATGACCGGCCCCACTCCCCACCCCCAGAAGTCAATCAACGTGATGGGATGTTAGCCAAAGATGGATGAGGGAGTCTGAGGTTTGGCCAAAGGCAGAGAGGGACAGGCCTGGGGTCCCAGAGAGAAGGGGAGGCGCTGCAGCTCAGCGGAGGGAGGAAGCAGGGACACTAAGGGCTGGGGACCCGCGACTGAGTGGCACACAAGGTCAGGGCCCAGCCGGAGGCAGGAAGGAGTCCTGGAGGCCTCACTCCTCTTACCGACCTCTCTAATCTCAGGGCGGAGCGCTTCCTCCAGAGCCCAGGGACCGCGACCCCACCCTAAGACGAAAGTCCCCGGGCAGAGGATGGAGAGCCCTCAGCTCCTCTTTTCTTTTGAGGAGACTGGGGAGGCCGTGGGGAGCGGGGAGGGTATCCTTGGGAATCCGCCGACCTCGCCCCTGCTCAAGCCGGCTACGGCGCCTCCCGGCTTTCAGGGGCCAAGCCCCCATCCTATCGCCGCCTCCATCGCACACACTCACACGCACGGTGCTTCCCAGGCGTGAGCGCTCTTTTGGTCCCCAGCTGGTTCGGGAGCGGAGAGCTATGGCCCCACAGAGCTCCACGCGGACATGCTCCCACCCACGAGCTGCCGTCCGCACGGGCTTGGACCCTTGGGACGCTGCCGCAGCGGCTGTCGGCAAGAGGGAGAGGCTGCGAAGTGCGCCCCACATGTGGGACCGGCTCCTCGCTCTTCCCTGCATTCTCGCCCGGCTCGGCTCCAGCTCGCCCTCAAGCCTCCCCACACCCCAGCGCTCTGCGGGTCCACTCACTCGCATCTCTCCCACGGTCACACACCCTCCTTGAGGGGCCGAAGGGAGAAGGTAATGGTTCTAGGAGGGACTCCGAGAGGGGAGGAGGCCGGGAAATCTGGCCCTGGCACGGGAAGGGGCCGGACTGGCTCGTCGGGGAAGTGGGAGGGGGCCGCGTCGCCGGGAGGAAAGCGCCTGTCGCCTGGGGCTCTGAGTCACTGGAGCAGCAGCAAGTGTGGCTCCGCTGCAAGTCCCCCGGGCGCCCCCCCCGGACCCCGCCCCTGCGGCCCCCCGGGCGCCCTCCCCGGCCCCAGGCCCTGCGGCTGCGGCAGCGTCGTGGGCTGTGAGTTCGGGGGAGAGGGGTAACCCGGGGCTCCTTCGCAGTAATCCCAAATCCTGTCCCCCGGAGGTGAGACCTTTGCTGGGCAGCTCCCCAGTCTAGGTTTGAGGGAGAGGAGCCAAGGACTGAGGCCCCTGGCCGCCATCTGGGAGTGGGCTGAGAGGCCGCAGGGAGTCCTTGAAGGAGACCGGATTGCAGCGCGTCGGGGGGCGCCGGGCAGGAAGGGCGAGCAGCAGGTGAGAAAGGCGCAGTGGAGCCCGCCCGGCCGCAGGAGGTAACCAGCTCACCGCCCTCCCCAGCGCCCGGGCGCGTGGCGGGGGAGCCCATGGCCCGCCTTTTCGGCCCCCGGCCGCCCCCCAGCGAAGACCTCTTCTACGAGACCTACTACAGTCTAAAC